TGCCCCATCCAGGCTTTGCAAGATCCCTCTGGATTACAAATGGGCACCGGACGGGAAACCCGTTGCAGCTCCAGGTTCCCTCTCCTTGCTCCCTGATGTTCCCAGGGGAGCACAGGCTTCTTCTATATCCTAAATTCAGCTGGTTTCAATTTCTAACCCTTGAATCCTGTACGACTTCAAGGGGGATGGGGGTGCATCCAGCAGGCGTTTGCAGCCTCCCCTTGGCCGTCGGGCCCTGTCTGTGCACTCAAAACAGACAAGAGCCAGTTTCAACCTCTATTTCGCTCCCTCCACTGGTCACATCACTGCTGCCTCAGTTTCCCTCACTGCCAAACACAAACCCTGTTGCAGGGCAGGAAAGCCATACCGGGGTGGTGGCACCGGGAAAGGCAAGGACCAGGCACTGCAGTGGTGGGATGCAAAACGGGATATGGCATGTCGTGGCCATTTCTGTTTGCACAGTGAGTCAACGGGATCCGGGAATTCTCTATTTAAAGTGGTCCTGACCCTGCTGTGCCACTGGCAAAAGTACAGATTAAATCCTCCTCAGCTCCCTGCCTGGGACAGAGCTGGCAAGGGAGCAGCCGTGCCTCCCGGTGCTCAGAGCGAGCCCAGCGCCTCTTCAAGGGCTGGTCTTGCACCAGCACAGGGAGAGACGCAGCACACTCCAGCCCAGGACATCAGCCCCGCCTCGCACCTCCAGGTTCCTTCACATGGAACAGCATCTCCACTGGACAACCCCTGGGGGTCTAACAGGTCAAAGGCCCAAGAGGCAGGACCCCCAGCCTGGCCAGGGGCACCCCACCACACCTGGGGGGGGGGAAGGCGGATCTGCTGGCAGCGATGCCGGGGTGGGGGATCCCCCGTCTGCGGGAGCACATCCCTCCCTGCCGCGTTCAACAGGGCAGGGGGAGAAGCACATTTCCCTGCTCAGCGGCATAGGGTATGGGAATTCAATTCGGCCAGGTCTGAAGGCAGGGAGGGAGGGCTGTATAAATAGAAAGGATATTTTTACAGGCTGCATTGTTCCAGGCACAGGCAGGTTGGGAGCACAATGAACCCCTTTTCCCTCTCTGCTGGCATTTTCTTCACTGCATCTTGGAAAGGCCCCAGAGAGTAAACGGGAACTCCTGCCAAACTGCGAGGTTTTGAAGCCACAACAAAGCACCTGAAAATGTCGTGGCAGGGAGCAGGAAGCCCTGCTCGGGGCTGGGTGCTGGGCAAGCCTGGCTGCTGAGAAGCTGCTGCTCCTGTGGCTGAGCCACCCCTGTGGAGTTTGGGAGCCCAGCAAGTGCTGCCCCGGCATCAGGGTGCCTGGGAGATGCTCATGGAAGAGCCCGTGTCTGCTCCAGGCTCCCCACGGACACTGGGCCTGGGCTGTTCTCCAGTGCCAGGGAGATGGAAGCATCCATCAGCCTCCTGCCCTTCCCAGCCATGAGGGGAAGGAAAGGGTGCTGCTCTCAACACCATCCTCCTCCCTGCGGAGGGCCGTGGGCTAATAAAAGGCAGCAGAGAACCCACACCGGGAAGAGCAGCTCGAGGCTCACCGTGTCCTGCTGCTCTTGCTCTCTGCTGCACCGGGCAGGGATTTTCCCGGGATCAGGTGAGGAGACAGCCGGCGGAAAGCAAAGCAAACCAATGCCGAGGTGCGCTTGCATGGAAACACATGGTGACCACTGGACAGGTAGGGGTAAAGCAGGAAGGATCCGAGCAAGGCAGTGACAGGTCCCATCCTTCCTGGCTGGGAAGAACACAGGACTCCCCTCTGCCAGCACCGGGCATTGCCAGCTCCTGGGGGTCCATCGTCTCTCAGCAGGAGCCAAGGATCCCAAGCTCGTACAGCACAGGGGGGACCAGCCCCTGCCCTCAGCCCCCCACCCTCCAGCTCCTTGCTCTGAGCAGTGCTTGGGCACCCAAGAGCAGCCCCGCTTCCCTGCAGCACCCTCAGCCCCCAAGAGCCCACAGCTCCAGCAGCCCTGCCTCAACCCCAGCTCCTCTCTCCACAGCCACCCTTGCTGCACCAGCTCCAGCACTGGGCTGCTATTAACCTGCTTTTGGGAAATCCAAACACAGTGCCCTTCTCCATGCTTCCTGGTGCACTCAGCTGCAGGACGTCCTCGCTCTCCACAAATGCAGCCTCCTCAAAGGAACATGAGCTGCAAACCACCTTGCCACAGGGGTCACTCGAGCCCAAACAAGCACCATCCCACCCCTTCTCCCCGCCAGAGCTCAGCCTAGCTGCGCCCTGGTTCCTGCTACCTCAGGTTACTTCCTTCCCATTCCACTAAAAGCAACAGCCTCCACTTCTAAGGACACTTTGAAATACAACTGCGAAGCCACACTCCCCATGTTTGAATCCCAGAAAGGATCTTTACCCGCCATCTGCAGCCGCTCCTCAGGGTGAGGGCAGGCTCCCAGGCTCGCTGTGCAGGCTGCACTCAGACAGGGCTCCAACAGGGACCAGGAGGCTTATCAAAAGGGAACAAAATACCTTCAGGCAAGTCCTGCTGAGGTTGGGAACTGGGACTGGGCAGCTCACGAGCAAGCAGCAGTATGACAGGCTGCCAGGACAGCCTGGTCGTTTCTCCGTGCCCCCTGTAACCAGGGCTCCAAAACACACCACACTGATGCTGTAGGACCAACTCCACCCATTGAAGGTCTGGCTACATGACCATACCAACCTACCAGATCACAGGGCCACCACGACTCAACACAAGAGAGCAGCAACAACAGTTACTCAAAACATAAGGGCAACCCCAGCTGGCCCTCGCCACAGACTCAACATCCTCTGTGCAGCCCTGTTGGCCCAAGGTGAAAGAACACACAGACGCCAACACTCAGTTAAGTTGTAGGAATTTATTTTAAATAACCTACAGTTGATTAAAAGGGAATTCATGATAAAAATAGAAGATACTTGTTGAGGAAAGGCTGCAGGAAATGGTCTTCGCACACACACTACGCTAACAATGCCTCTAAAACTAATGATTATAGCAAAAAAAGGTTTCACATTAAAATTCTGCTTTTTAATTTTTTAAAATTTTTTTACACAATTACAAAAGAAAAAATAAAAGCCCTAAAATCTTGATTATTTTCCTTTTTGGACCGATGCTCATTTCCCTCGAAATTTATTGACCTGTGAAACTTCTTTTTACACAATAAAATCTTTCAAGTAAAAGAGGGGAGTGGGGCTTAGAAAAAAAGGGGGGGAAAAGGTAAAACAGTCTGACAAACCTAAAAAGTAGATAATTCTTGAAGTGTACAGAGCGTGTTCAGAACAAAAGGTGACGGGAATGTCATTTGTTGCCAATTTCACTTGTTCTCAAATTCCACACGCATCTCCCCATCACACGGTCCCCTCCCTCCACCCGCTCCCCAAATCTACACGATCTTTAAGATCAAGAAGAAAAAAAAAAACCCTGTTTAAATATTTTAAAATAATTAAAAGAAATAAAAATTCACATTTAAAAAAGGAACACTCAAGTCAGGAGGCCGATTTCCCATCACGCTTTGCTCTGAACAAATGGGGTGGATATTTGTAATTCATGTTCCAATGCCACGACTGTTTCAAGTGACAAATTAAAAAAAAGATTTGGGTATTTCCATGACTATAGTGACAGCTGTAACAGGTGCGTTGGGTTTCTTAAATTTTGTTTATTTGTTAAATTCTGAAATGGGGCAGGAGGGGGAGGGGAAGGGCAGGGGTTAAGGAGTCCATTTTCTATTAAAATATAGAAGTTATTGCAAAACCCTAACTGTAAAAACGCACCAATATAATTGGATTTTGTATACAGTAGCTAAAGATTCCCACGCTCTCAGTGTGATGGTGAATTTGCCTGGCGGAAGGTTGACAAATCCCCCATCCACTTGCCCTGCCTCAAGAGAAAAACCACACAAACCAGACAGCTAGAATTTGGATCTCTGAAACATTTTTAAATAAGTTGTCCATAGGACAACTGGCTCAGCTCCTTTAGGATATTTCCAGGTTATGCTTTCTGCAAGATGTTGGCTGTTTTATCTGATGCTCACTTGCCCCTTTCCTCCCCCTTCCCCAGCATCCAAGGACAAGTAAGGCTCACAGTTTATCAATCTCCCTAAAAACCAGGCTACTCCCCCTTTTTTTCCCATAAAATTCAGCTCATTAAAAACAGGTTAAAACTCATAGTCTTCCTCTGCCATGTCAATAGCCCAGGCAAATTTCTCTCGTTGGGTTTTGTTGTAAATCTTCTCTATAGGAATTCCCCACTTCTTACACCTGCAGAAGAGGAGATGCTGTTAGAGTCAACACAGCACAGGCACCCAACCGCTTGCCCTGCCCCAGCACCTTCCCAGCTCTACTCCATTACAAGACCTAAAATCACAGACTCTCAGAACCGTTTGGGCTGGAAGGGACCGTAAAGCCCACGTAGTTCCAACCCCCCTGCCATGGGCAGGGACACCCTCCACTAGACCAGGCTGCCCAAAGCCCCACTCAACCTGGCCTTGAACATGCCACCCAGCATTCGACCCTGCAGGTTCTCTGACCCATCACCTTCCAGCGCAGCGCTGGCTTTGTCTGGCATGTTACGCTTGCCTCAAGAGACTTTTGTAACTTTCCTGAAACTATTTGAAGATATAAGGGAAGGCCACAGAGAGTCATCGCAGGCAGCACAGAGGCACTGCTCTCAGCCACAGCCCTTGTCTGCTAACTAGCGGACAAGACACAGAGGAAGGAGCGGTTCCTCCCAGCAGACCCCAGGCAGATGCTTACCAAGCAACGGAGATCCTGGGATCCAGATAGTTGAGTTTGGAGGTGCCCAAAGCGATCTGCTTGTTCTCCTCCCTATCTGTAGCCTGAACCTCCAGCTTCATCAGTTGCTCCTCAATCCTCTGCACTGCTTTCTTCTTGCTCTCCACTGTCCTGGGGTAGGAAAGAATCAAAGCATTGAATTCCTAATGCCTGGCTAGGCATGAGATGGCAGCACTGTGGGAACCCAAAGGGACTCTGCTCAAGGTAAGCAATGCCACCAGCCACAAAGGGCAGCTGCATCAGCACAGATGGTGACACAAAACACTCAGCACATGCAATTAAGAATTGACATTTTCAAAGAGGCAGAGCAGAAATCTTAAGCAGCAGTTTTGCTTTTAAGGGTTGGAAGCAACAGCCTGAACTGTACCAATGCTACACCCACTTTAAAACCAGCTCATTTATCCCTCTGTAATAGTCATGCTGTGATTCTGCTTTCAGAGCTCCCTTAACTCAGCACCCCATGGCTATTCTGCAGAGCCCACACAGAGTACATCGTCTGCACCGTGGGCTTCCAACAGAGCAGAGCAGAACCCAGGAAAGTGCGTACGCAATTGTGTAACTCCTGGCTCCCCATTAAGCTGGCAATGCTGCACACTGGATCCATGGCTCTGCTTGGCCCTGGGCAGTGGCATGGTTGAGCACTGGCTGCTGCTCAGCTCAGAGACACAGTGGAGAATAATGCTAGCAACCACCCTACAGTCCTCAACTTAAAGGCCATTTCTTCATACGCAGAATGAAGAGGGGACCAGAAAGCCTGAGGAAGTCTTCCCAGATACAGGCTGGGGAAACAGAATACAGGGTGAAGGAGCCATTTGGAGCTGAGAGCACTGGGAGCATTGCACAGCCTAGTAACACCAGCCTTACTTTTTAGACTTCTCATCCCTCCGGACCTTGGCATCAGCTTTGGCGCTTTTCAGTTCTCTCCTGGCATCAGCTAACTGCTCCTTCTTGGCATCGATCTAGGAGAGGCAAAACCAGATGGCAGCACTGTGAAGAAGCTGCTGACAGCTGTGGCAGTCACTCCTGGGCAGCATGACCCAGGGAATGATTTTGTGACCACGTTCAGAATCTACCAGTGCTCAGAACTGCTTCCGCAGAACAATTAGGCCATTGGCCTTTGCTGCAAAGCCTCGTGTGGTGAAATATTCCCCTCAGAACAGAGGGCCCCACTCACTTCCAAAGACAAGGTGGCACTGGGAGCCCTCTCACACAGCTACAGCCAAGCAGACAAAGGAATTGGCTTGGCCTGGGACTTGGCCACAGCCCCTCCAGGTAGCCTGTCCACCTCCCCTGTATCCCACCAGTACCAGCTCTCTGACAGTAACATGGAAGGATGATCCCTGTTTCCTCAGC